AGACGGTTTGGCTCCTTCTGAGCTAATTGTCCTTGCCTGGAAGCAAGGGAGGGAGCCAGTCTCCTTCTGATACCTTGGGGGGTGGGGAGGAAGTAGGGAGTTTACATTAGCCTTTTCATTTCCAAATGAAGTTTCATTAACCTCTTCATTCCCAAATGGAGTTACATTAACCTTTTCAGCAGCCGAAGACCGTATTATTCCCTTCCCATTCTCCCACGGTTCCCTAGCTTGTCATGCATTCTTTCCAAAAATCAGACTTTTTTAAAACGCTGCAAGACGTGGGGCAAATTGTTAAAAATTGGGACTGTCTCGCCAAAAGCAGTACGTCTGGTCACCTTAGATTATAGGCGTGATCCACCACGCCGGGCCTTTAATGGAATTTAGCACCGCCCTTCTCGCGTTAAGTCTGGGCTCCCGGGACAGCCACGGTCCTCCGAGGGAGCAGCCGAGAGCTGAGGCCCGCAGGGCCCGGGGAAGGAGATTCTAGCCGCCGCCACTCGGTGGTGGGGCCTACGGCACCCTGGTCTCTGGGCGCCGCCATGTTGGAGGCTCAGGGTCCCAGCGGTAGCTCCGACTGCCGGAGTCCGCGCGCGAGCGAGGTCAGCTACGCCGGGCAGATGCTGGAAGTGTTGCCGCAGGTGTACTTGGGTGGGGCCGCGGCCGTCTCAGAGCCGGACCACCTGAGGGCGGCGGGCATCTCAGCGGTGCTGACAGTGGACTCGGAGGAGCCCAGCTTCCAGGTGGGGACAGAGGTCGAGGGGCTACGGAGGCTGTTTGTGCCAGCGTTAGACAGACCCGACACCGACCTGCTGAGCCATCTGGACCGGTGCGTGGCCTTCATCAGTAAGGCCCGCGACGAGGGGCGTGCGGTGTTAGTGCACTGGTGAGTGGCAAGGTCATGGGGAGAATTGTCCCACCTCTCGTCCAGATTGGCTCCGTCACCCCTTTCCTCCGACAACACCTGGGAAGGACAAGGGTGGTCAAACTCCGAGGAACTCGTCCCACTCCCTCCCGCCGGAGGCGAGGGTCAGAGAGAGAGAGAGAGAGAGAGAGAGATATGCTTTGATTCATTCATGTTTTGGTTGGTTCTTTCTGCAGCAACAGAGTTATTTTGGGAGTGAAAGGAGTATGATCAGATAAATGACAAACTCCGGGCACCGGGAGGACTTTACAGCTTTCTGGGAGAAGCTAGACACACCCCCACCCCACTCCTGTGATTGTAACACAGACTGGGATGCTGGGTGTGTACTAAGAGAGATTAACGAAGGTTTAAGGTTATCCAGGCTTCTGAGGAAGAGCATATTATTTTGAATGTTTTTGTTTGGGGTGAGGGAGGTTGGTTGATGAAAGGGAGAATAGGTTATAATCTAAAGGACCCCTGGGCCTTGGCTAGGGGAGAGAAGGGGTCAGTTGCTGCCAAGACAAAAAGAACATCTTGATGGATATTTGGGAATCCCTAAGTAGTCCTTGGTTGGATTGGATGTCATAACAATGGTTTGGATATATTGAGCATTTACTGTGTGCCAGCAAAGGACAGAAAGTAGTAATAAAGCCAAAAGAAGACTGGGCCAAGATCTCTAGGGCATTGAATGCCAAGAGCAAAAACTTTGGATTAGTCCTGAAACTCTTAGAAATTTTTTAAAAACTACTGCAGTTATGTTGGTTTTGTTTTGTTTGAGACAGTCTCAAGCTGTTGCCTTGGGTTGAGTGCTTGGTGTCACAGCTCACAGCAACCTCAAGCTCTTGGGCTTAAGCGATTCGCTCGCCTCAGCCTTCCAAGTAGCTGAGACTACAGGTTCCGGCCACAATGCCCAGCTATTTTTTTTGTTGTTGTTATTGTTTTTTCAGCTGTCCCAGGCCTGGTTCCAACCAGCTGGCTTTGGTGTATGCAGCCATTGCCCTGCCTACTGAGCTATGGGTGCCACCTGCAGTTATGTTTGAATAGGTAGTGCATTTAAAGGGTTAAAAATTCTAAAGGAATATGGAAATAAAGGAATAAGTCTTTGTATATTGGTAGTATTTCAGAGGCAGTGGGTTTGAGTAGAAGTAGACATGCAGTGGATCTGAACTTTACCAATAATAGGGGGCTGGGTTTTGTTTTGTTTTAATTGTTGTTATGTTCTATTTTATTTTTGAAAGCCTCTATTTTCAGTCATGCAGGAGTCAGTCGGAGTGTTGCTGTAGTGACTGCATTTGTGATGAAGACCAATCTAGTTACCTTTGAAGAGGCCTATGGACATCTCCAGTCTGTCAAACCAGATGCTAAGTGAGTTCTTTGTTACAATATTCTGCTTTTGTGATGTGATTTTATTTAAAGAAATTTGAACTTTATATTTCTTTTTCATTATAGGATGAATGAAGGGTTTGAGCGGCAACTGAAATTATACCAGGCAATGGGTTATGAAGTGGATACCTCTAGTGCAATTTATAAGCAATACCGTTTACAAGTGGTTACAGAGAAGTATCCAGGTAAGTAATAATATCTAATGTGTACTGAGGTCTTTCCAGGTGTTATTACACTGAACAAATTATCTCACTTCCAGCAATCCTGAGAAACCGTTGTTTCCTTTTGAAACTATAGTTTAGCTGGAAATAATTTATTTGGAATCACATGTTCTGCAAATGGCCGGGCTGGGATTTAAACTCAAGTAGTCTGTGCCCAGAATCCAAAGACTTAATCCATATGCTCTTCTACCTCATCCTGGAATCTCTCTCGCTCTCTCTCTTTTTTTAAAGCTTGCTTCAGCCTGGAATTTCTCAATGTTGGAATTTGTTCTTTTTTTTTTTCAATTTCTGAGGTTAGCATTTGTTGCCTCAATTTAACATTAACTGAGTTTTGACTGAAAGTGCAGGGTCGATTTTAACAAATAAAAACATTTTAATTATGTCATATAGAGCTGCAAAATATACCTCAAGAACTCTTTGCTGTTGACCCAGCCACCACTTTGGAAGGATCAAATGATAAGGTTCTCTACAAATGTAGGAAGTGCAGGTAAAATGTTTTTATCCTCTAGAGATTTATCTTGTTTCAGGAGCTGAAAAGTACTTAAAGTTACATTATTTTAAATCTCTGTGGGAAGAAGTTTAATTGAATAATATAGATCTTTCTAATTTAAATCTCCTTTCAAGAAGAATATACATTTTTTTTCAATTATAAAATTTTAACTATGGGTCAGTGAAATACACAGAAATAGAAAACTTACTGGTTCATATAAAAGAACTAACTCTCACACTTCCTTTACTGATATTTGTGGTGAGGCCTTTAGGATGTCTTTGCCATGATGTGTAATCTTAGGAAACTGAACAAAATTTTGAGTGAGGGATCAAGAAGAGACCAGTTGTGTCTTAGATTCCTTAAGTAGGGTCTATCTCTAAAGAAAGCTGAGCAGGGGATGTTTGTGTGTTGTAGAGAAGAGTTTTCTTGGCAGCATCAATATTAGTGTATTTGTTGCTCAAGGGATTTCCTTTAGATTCAGAGGTCTGGCTCTTAGTGTGACCCTTCATTTTGATAACAGGTTAATTCTTTGATCTGCGATAAGTTTTCTAATAGGTTAGTGACTTGGGTTCCATCGTTTATTGGTGTTCTTTCAGCCATCATTGAACATCCTTTGTTTCCATTAAAGGGAGTTTAGGGGTCTTGACAGAAGGAAGAAAAGTCAGATGGTCAATGAGTCATTAGAGGCTGTCGCCTGAGAGGAGCTGGGGAGGTCAGTGTTCAGCAAGGCTCACCATAGACAGTATAGTGGCAGTGGCCTGGACCTTGGTCTCCTTCGGTTCCTTGGTAGCAGAGGGGAGGCTCCCCCATGTCTCTCTCCTCCCCTGTAGCCGGAGCCAGGGGAGTCCAGGTGGTCCAGGTGGCTGGAGGGGGTCTGCTGCCCAAATGTGGTGATTCTTTTCACTAGATATCCAGACTGGTCACTCGGAACACAAAATTATTGTTGGGTTGGATAATGTAGGGGAAATTACTTTACTTTACCAACTATTGGTGGATCAGTCTTCCAATACATCCCCTAGAAGCTTCCAATTTGCTTTCTCCTTAATTTCTTCCAAAGTAAGTTTTTAAAGCTGTGACTGATGTTTTTCTCATAACATCAGAACATTGTGTACCCAGAATTCCCAGCTACTACCCTGTTCCAGGTCTGAGCAGACAGCAGAAGGAGCATACTGAGAAAGGCTCTGGTTACAGGGTTCACATTCATTCTCCCTGGGGCTCCTCTACCTCAAAGGACAGTGCCCTGCTGTGCAGAGAGCTCTGTCTTGGCTCCCCTCTCCTGCCCTACCCTCCCAACCCTCTGCCCCAGGGTATAAATTCTTAAGACATGGTCTCACTTTGTGGCCCTGGGTAGAGTGCTGTGCTGTCACAGCTCATAGCAACCTGAAACTCTTGGGCTCAAGTGATCATCTTGCCTCAGCCTCCCAAGTAGCTGGGACTGTAGGCACCTGCCACAGCATCCCACTAGTTTTTTTATTTTTAGTAGAGACAGGGTCTCACTCTTGCTCAGGCTAGTCTTGAACTCCTGAGCTCAAGCAACCCACCTGCCTTGCCCTCCCAGTGTGCTAGGATTACAGGAATGAGCCACTACACCTGGCCTCAAAATATAAATTCTTAAGAAGTAGAAGTGATCAGTTTGTAGGGATTATTGCAAATTTCATTATAATCGGTATGATATTTGTCATTTGCATGTTTTACCTATTTTTTTTTTATCCTTTTAGAAGTCATTAATGTTTTTGTTTGTTTGGGGGTTGCAGGAGATCCTTATTTCGAAGTTCTAGTATTTTGGATCATAATGAAGGAAGTGGGCCTGAAGCCTTTGTCCACAAGAGAATGACGCTACCTTTCATGGTTAGCATAGGGCCTCGGTGTACATCTTATTTCATTGAACCTGTTCAGTGGATGGAATTCTCTTTGTTGGGAGTGATGGATGGACAGGTGAGAACACATTTCCTACAAATTTTATTGTATCATCTACATTTATTTCTTACATTTTATGCCATATTTTAACTATTATTTTATTCTGTTTATTAGCTCTTTCTGAAGATTGTATCTTTCTAGTTTAGTTTAGATAAGACTATTAAAAATAAACATTTTTTTTTTTTTTAAGACAGAGTCTCACTTTGTTACCTTTGGTAGAGTGTCATAGCATCACAGCTCATAGCAACCTCAAACTCTTGGGCTCACGTGATTTTCTTGCCTCAGCCTCCCAAGTAGCTGGGACTACAGGCACCCGCCACAATGCCTGGCTATTTTTAGAGATGGGGTCTTGCTCTGGCTTAGGCTGGTCTTGAACTCCTGAGCTCGGGCAATCCACCTGCCTCGGCCTCCCAGAGTGTTGGAATTACAGGCATGAGCCACCTTGCCTAGCCCAGTAAACTAGTTTTTTTAAATTAGCTGATCCAAAGTAGTGAATCATTGTTTGTTGAGAGCCTCAGTCTAAGTTAATAATTCCTTATAAATAAGACTATTTTTTTTATTCAACCACTATGCAAACAAGGAAGGCTATTTATGTTTTTTCCAATTTAAGACTAACATTTTAAAACTACTTAGACTATTTTTAACAGAATTTGAACTTTGTTAACAAGTAGGATACCAATCAAGGATTTAAAAATTAGGTAAAAAAAAATTTTTATTTTCTGTTGGCTTCATGTATCTCTTTTTTTTTTTTCCTGATCTTTTAATTTAGTATATTTGCTATGAGATTGGTTTCATTTTCTTTAAAGAATGTAGCTCCTGTGAATATCCTTTGGCAGCCACACTTCTTTAGGTTTAATTGATATTAATCTGAGGTAGTCTACAGTAATCTTACATCTCACTCTGTTGCCTGGGCTAGAGTACAGTGGCATCATCAAAGCTCACTGGAGCCTCAAACTCTTGGGCTCAAGTGATCCATCTGCCTCAGCCGTAGCTGGGACTAACAGGTGCATGACACCACATCTGGCTAATTTTTCCATTTTTATGTGGAGAGTGGGTCACACTCAGGCTGATCTCAAACCCCTAGGCTCAAGCTGTCCTTCCTCCTTGTCTTCTCGAAGTGCTAAGATTATAGGCATGAGCCACCATGCTGGCCCAGTTCCTATTCTTGATGGTATTATTTGTAGCAGTTAAGAGTTTCTTTTTTTTTTTAAGGCAGAGTCTCACTCTGTCACCCTGGGTAGAGTGGCAGTGGTGTCGTAGTTCACAGCAACTTCAACTTCAAACTCCTAGGCTTAAGCA